TAAAATTTGTTTTAGTTTTTTTTATCTCGTAATATTTTCACTAAAAAAAAAATGGAGTGGAAAAGAAACTTAGTCAAATGCAATTATATTTTTATAAATTAAAGATATTTAATGACTTTATTAATTCTTCTGTAAACTCTTAAAGGAAAATTATTTTGAAATAGAAATGTATCCTAATTACTTAAGCAAAATAATAAATATTTCCTTTATCCTTAATTAATAGTAGTCAATATACCAAAAAAATTATTTTTGTAATGAACTAAGCAACAACTACAATAAATGAGTTTAATATCACATCTTAACAAAAAAAAATCTTAAGGAATTAAATTTTATTCATCTTCCCACTTATATGGTACTTTCTAAATACTTGTGAGATTTCATTACTAATCTTTCGTACTTAAACTTTCAACCATTTTTTTATTTAATACATTTAATTCAAAGTAATTAAAAAGATGCTATACCAATTTATTAAGAAAATATAACATTATTTTTAGTACAATATAGATAAAATTGCAACTTAAGTAGGATAACTTGTTAATTTTGGAGAATTCTTCTCTTCATTTCTCACAACCTTTATCCTTTGATGGTCATGATTCATGCGGGCATGGTTAGTAGGTAGAACGGTTCATACGCCAAAGCCTAATTTCAAGGAGTTTTATATGTTTTCCCTAATTGGCTAAGTGAGAACATAATCGTGCTTGCGTTGTTTTTTGGAGCCACATAGGTCAATTTTGTCCACTTGTTAAATTTGACGGTGTTTATATAACAAGAAACGATAGGCTTTTAGTAGCTATATTTGGTGTCAACCAAAAGCCTTACGTTAAATGATTAAAGTTTGATTTTGCCGATTGAGACAATACAAGGACATAAATGGATGCTTACAAAAGTTTCATTTTCTTTTGAGTAAAGACACTTCTTGATCCCTAACAAAAAAACACGGTCCCACTTTAGTCTTTTACAAATATAAATTAGTCAGTTAGTCCTTAACAAATTTAAGGTGAACCCATTTTAGTCCTTTTGAGAGACTAATATGGGTCTTTTTTGAATTTGTGAGGGACCACGATTTCAACTAAATGGGTCCACTTTGAATTTGTTAGGGACTAACTGACTAATTTATTTTTATAAGAGACTAAAGTAGAAACAGTGTTTTTTGTTAGGGACTAAAAAATGTATTTACTCTTTTCTTTTTCACGAAGATAATGAAATGCCTTCAAGGGTAATTGTGTTCCGAAATCTCATACTTCTATACCCTTCTTTGGAAAAAGTGTAAAGGATTTAATGCTATCAATGGCTTCTCTTTTGAATGATATAGAACAACCACTTTTTTGACTGCATTTGTTTTGGCGAACTTCTTGTTTCTAACAGAATCACGTACATAAGACAACTAAAAGCCTCTTTAATTATGGAAAGATCAGGTGGGGACGTGAGTTCTTTTCCTATTCAACAAATTAACAACTTTATGAAAGAAAACATGATTATAAAAAGGATTCATATATGTTTTGCTTTTTCATCCTTTTGCTTTTATTTAAATTTTATGGTATGAAACTACCAATTTTGAACCGGCTCTAGTCAAACAAATTAAGTGCTTCATAATTTCATGGAACAATTACATGCAAACAATTGTGTAGCATGTGCTTTGGTGTCGCTTTATCTTAACATTTGAAAATGTCGAATATCATATGCATACCCAGATTTTTGGATCGAAATTATGACACAAGAAAACTCAAGTTTAAGGCTATCTCATAGTTATTTAATTGCTATTAATTGTTCCACATATTTGTTCATGATCATAACCAAATATAGTGTGCCCTCCTCTTGTTTTATTTGTAAATTGTCAAGAGCGACATTAGAAGTTTAGGGCATTAATTTCTTTTATTTGTAAATCGTCAAGAAAAGAATATATAATTGAATTTGAGTTAGGTATGGAAAAAACATGTGATGAGATCATGAGAGAATATACACGCAAGATGAATAATGATAACGCTGGGCATGACGTAGATTTTGTATTCAGATAATAATTCATGTTGACAAAACCACAAATGTCTGGTACAATTTTGCGTCTCGGGTTTATTTTTTATTTTCTTGTTCTTTTTTAATAGTTTGAACTTTGTCTTATGAATAGATATTGTTGTTTAGAGTTTTTAAGCTTATTTATATTTTTCTTTAAGCAGAGTGTTTTGTAACGAATGTAATGATGAAAATATAGTAAAACATTGCGGGGCGTAACTTATATTAGATGTGTTAGGGTAAATCATTGTTTTCATTCTTTCTTTCATTCCCTCTTTTTGCTTTTCGATTGTGTGGTGTTTATTGGATCCCACTAGACAATTCCAGAAAGAAAGAAAAAAGGACAAAAGCAAAGGTGATGACATTTGAACATGAAATACAATATGGCTTCGTTAAAGACCATTTTGTCACATATTTTTTAGACAACGTGAAACATCGATCTGACATTCTCAGCACCGCCAAAGCTGTTTTCCGGAATATTCGTTAATTTTTGTTTTCTCTAGCTTTCTCATGTTAATATCTGACATATATTTGGTGTTTCTTGCTAATAATTTTTCTCTATTCTCAACTCTTAAATGAATATCACTTACAAATTGGCAAGTTTAGTAGTACGATTACGGGTTGGTGGATGGAGGAGGAGGAATTAATCTAATAGATAGAGTATAGTACACATGTTAAGTGAATGGATGGTATTAATTATACTATATTAGTATCGATCAAGATGTATTCTATTTTAAAAATGTTAAATAAGTATATTTATTAATTAAGGCAAGCATGCCAGCACTATGATATCAAAGCATAGCTTGTTCATGCTAGACATGATAGGGAATGAATAAGTTTGATGCATCGATTAACGGAAAGAAAGATTAAACCTCGTTTTTTGTTTGTCTGAGTTTGTTCATTTGTTTGCTTTGGCTTGGCTTGCAAGACAGATTTCCAAGGGTATATATGATGTTAGGAAGTAGCTAGGATGTACGTGCCTATAAACATGCACTCTCTAATCATTACATTTAATCTATTTATTCAAAACTTACGACTTTGGCCACTTTGATTTGCACAAATGTGCATGATACATATATACTCATAGGAACTTGGAATTAGGTTAAGTTTCAATTGAATTAACATATAAACTAATAAGGACTTGCCGAGATGTGTCTTAGGACACTTTTCATATAGAATCTGTTATGGATATGAATATCATATCTCAACTACCCATATGAGAATATACTTAGAGATAGAGTTAGAAACATCTCAACAACTCTAAATAGCCAAAGGACACAAGATAAGGGTCACATCTCAATAGAAAGGGAGTTGAATTCTATTGCAATTGGGGAAGCTCTAAAAGCCTAAGCCTAGGAAGGTAATCCTTATAAATAAGAGCCTAAGGACCCCAAGTAAACATTCTGAACCTATTTACTTATACTGCACACACTGTGCACACACCCACTCCCTTGGCTATAAGCCTATTGCTTGTGCGCAGTGATTGGGACCTCGGCTATAAGCCTAGTATACTTTTGATATACACTATCTCTGAGCGCATACCATACGGTATAGCAATACGTTCTATCTAGGACCTAACAGAATCAAAAGAAAATTCAAACAAGCAACTTACAGCAATGACATTAATTAATAAGTAGAATGAAAAATGGAAAAGAAAAAGTTGTAGTAGTGAGTAGAAGATCAGTATATAAAATGGAATGTTTGACAGTTATTAAGGAATTAAAGGAAAAAAAAGGGCTTTCTTTCTTTGAAGACATGTGTTCTAGTTTTGGTTTGGTAAATGGGTTTGGAATATTCTCTGTATCTTCCATGAAAACTTTAAGTAATGTTGCCATGTTGGTAAAAAAAAATACTGATTTTGTTATCAAAAAAAAAAATAAAAAAAAAATACTGATTTCCACGAATTGATGATTCCATTATTTGTTGCTTGCCAAACTTAGTGCCTGAAATATTCTTGGGGACCCACATTAGCTATTTCTGAAACTTTCATCATGTCAAACATTTTAGACCAGTCTATTGCAGTTGAATATGGCCAAACAGTGGCTTGCGCCCCATATATTACTCCCTTCGCAAAAAAGAGGGCCAAATGGATAATAAATGAAGTAATAGTTAAATGCAGTTGATTTTAATTTGATAAAATTTATTTAGCTAGATAATAATTGTCATTTTTAATTGTTTAGAACATTTTATGCCTATTCAAAAAAATTTGCCTCACCATATAACATAATAATAATAATAATCATAATAATAATAGTAATAAAAAATAACAACATAATTATTAATAGCTATTCTTTACTATTATAATTAATTTAATAGATTAATTTTCTTTGGATAACTTTAATAGATTAATGTTGTATGTGTTATTTAACAACATAAAACATCATCTTGAACCATGCGAAAAAGTTGAAATCCACAAACAAACCGTGTGCAAATGGTTCTTACTCAAGGCCCAAAAAGGTTTGGTATGAAAGCTAATTAACATTTTTGTTGGGCTGATGAAGCAAAGGGCAAACATTAGACCATATCACGTGAGTTGTGCTTTTTTTAATTCGATTTGAAAGTGGAGACGGACCTCTGGTGACTGAAGCTCTGATACCTTGATAAGCGTCACTTCAACTCAAAATCTTAAGGCATTGGGTGAGACTAAATTAATTATTTTACATTTCTCTAACAAAATCCACAGACAAACCGTTTGCCAATGGTTCTTACTCAAGGCCCAAAAAGGTTTGGTATGAAAGCTAATTAACATTTTTTGTTGGGCTGATGAAGCAAAGGGCAAACATTGGACCATATCACTTGAGTTGGGCAGTTATTTTTATATACGCCCAGCTATGCATTACTTGGGCCAGCTCCAATATGCATAGTTAGATGCTGAAGTACTCAACTTTCTTGGCTTTATATTATGTGCTCAATTATATTTAGTAGTCCTTTTTTTTATTTATTTAACAAAGGAAGTCTATAACCTGTGTGAGAAGAGAAATAGTAGACTAAAATACATACAAAGAGGCCTGAATGGAATTAGAGTCTAGAATCAAGTAATCCAAAGGAACTGAGTGCTACTTGAGTTAAGGATCTTGTACCAGTAGTCAAATAGTTTATTCATGCAAAATCATACCTCTGCTCTAGTTTACTACCATCCTTGGCCCTACTCCAAGGGATATGAGTCCTTCATAGTTACAAAGTTTACTATAATTAGTAAGCAGCACATACTCCATTAAGATGTACACACTGATTAACAGGCCTTCTCCAATTAATGGACAACATTTTAATGCTTCATCTATCATCATCAGTGAAGTCTGGTTCAAGGGGCTTCCTTAATGAACCAAGAATGTCAAGTTCAGAACCATATCTCAAGCTACTACCTTTCCTTGGGTTGGCTGATATTTTAGCAGCATAAGTTGTAAAACTTGAGCACATTGGGGCCTGAAGAGGTGCAGAGAAATATTCAGTGCCACCAGTTCCAGGGACATAAGCCATTATCAGATTCTCCTTTTTCTTTAGGTCCCTTGTCTCCTTCATTCTTTTATACCTAAACCAAGCTGATTGTATAAAGCATGCAGCCCATGTCCTCCACTGATGGGAATGGAACCTGAACGTGTGCCTAAGTTGTTTGCTATGTAACCTGCGGAATTGTGCTGCTACAAACGTCAAGTCCTCTGCAATGAGTGCAAAAGCTTCCACATCAGTGATGGCTTTCACTGTGCGAGTTGAGGATGGAAGGACAACAGTTGGACGAGGGTCCAAAGCCCATGGCAAGAGCTCTTCACCACAGAAGTCACCAGAGCCAATTCTGCATGAGTTAAAGAAACCAGTTCTGCCACCATTGGTTGTACAAGAATCTAGGCGTCCTCTAACAATGAAGAGCATCTCAGTGACAAGGTCACCTTCACGAACTAGGCAAGTTCCTGGAGTACACAGAGAAGGCTTCAACCTTTCACATATTGCATCTAGCATCCTTTCATCCATCTGATCAAATAGTGGTACCTGTCATGGACCAATTAAGTTGTTAATTTTTAGTTGTTTTATCTCACAAACCAACTCTCTTTACATGAATGATTTTATTATATCTCTCCCTTAGGCACCGGTGGACCCGAGATTTTTGTGTTAGGGGGCAAAAATAAAATACCAAATTTACAAGTATTGTTAAGAATACTAAGATGGACTATTATAAGTATTTTTCTGGAGCGACGAACTATTAACACTAATAGTTTATTATTATTTGACAAATATCATTTTATACATGTAATTATAAAATAATCAAAGTTCAGTGAGGGTGACCGCCAATGCTTGTCCCTTCCCTCGACTAGAAAGGTCAAGAATCAAATTCTAAACCACTTGATTATAAAAGCTTTGATACCATGTCATGAATTTGTTATTCCAAAAGGTTAAGTTGTTGGGTAAAAACATACAAATGATTGTATTATATCTCCACGACACGAGTTTATTTCACAAGAAACACATATTGGAATTTTCACTTAACAGTTTAAATTTTTGAGTTAAAATAATTCTTTATATGATATCAGAACTTTTATGACCAAACTAGTGTGATCCTCACCATCCTCCATTCTATTAATCAATAACTATATATTGTGGAGTTTCTTAGCACAAAGTAGGAGAGCCTATGCATTGTCCACATTTTAAATCTAATGGGTTCTTGTATGTCAATGACACGGTCTTCACCTAAAAAAAGGCTTACACTTTTGGGTTAAAATGAGTCTTTTAGGATAAAACTTGCATACATGCTGACTAGGATTTGACACTGCATGAGAAGCTTATTTGGAACTTTCTTAATTCACAAAGCTGTGTCAAAGAAATAACATGCAGGAAAAAGATTAGAAAGATTTACTTGTCGAACTAGATTAAGGCAAAGGTGGCGTTTAATGTCACGTCTGAGATCCGCAGGAAGGTCTCTGAGAATAGTTTCTTCATCCACTCCACGAGTAGCAACCCATCTGAATTGGTCATGACGTCGCACATTTTGCTTCAGGTAAAGAGGGAGCTGCCTGTGATGCATCCATTTTTCCGTATCTGTTCTTCTTATTCTCCATTCTTCCAGCCGCAGAGTGGTGGATTGCAGGTAGGTCTGTTAATCAGATAAGTATTTATATGAAAATACAATATATGAGAATCCAAGTTATGATCTAAATTTAAAACCATACATATTATATTATTTTTTTATTTTATTTGTTTATTTATTTATTTATTTTTTGCTTTTTTTACTTTTTTTTTTCAACCGTTTTGTATCTTTCATGTGGGTTCATCTACCACCGACCCCAATTAATTTGGGATAAAGGTGTTGTTGATGTTGATGTTGAATGAAAGTGAATCAAGGTGGCAGTACTTCAATAAGCTTTTTGCAACAAAAAGAGTCAGTCATCTATAAGAATTTTCAATTAAAGATTATTATAAGCTATATAGTTAATATATGGATGACGAATTCACTAGAAATCATGACAATAAATCCTACTCAATGAACACACAACCTGTCTCACAAGGTTCAGAAATTTCATATTTAAATAATCATTGTAAGCCAAAAAAGGAAAATTCTTAAAAAATCCTGATGTTAAAGAACTCTAATATACCAACAGATAATGAGTTTACTTTTGCGAATAATTATCAAGTCCTGAAAGTTGCAGCACATTTAAAGACTGGCAACAACTAGACTTACTTGCATATTGCCTATAAGCAGTGCAAAAAGCACCAATCCAAGAATTGCAACAATCACCGCAAAATTTATCTCTGCAACATGTGTGCTTGTTAAGAGATTCTGTCCTGCAGAGCTGCAAATTTGGCATAGAATTAGTTAAAACATCTAAAAATCTAGTGTGGGCTAAAAATAGGTCAAGGATCAAGAGTAAAAGACTGTTAAGACAACAAAACGTGATGGTATTTTCTTTAAGAACATGAAGGTCTTGATTATAGTTGAGCTGTTTTTGTAGGAGAGCTAGGAGTATATCACTATGGAAGTGCTTTTTAGAGGTAGTGTTATGGATCAGAGCTCTTGGAGGAGTCACAAAAGGCGTATCTCTGGTATGGCTGAGAAAGAGGAAATTTGTAAGGATACGGTGACTCTATATTTCAGCAGAGTAACAGTTCATGAAAGTAACAAATGCAGAATGCCTCTTCAAATGGTGAAGAGGGATAGATATATATATGAAAAATATTCCCTTATTATAATTGTTTTGCCTACTATCTCACTAATGTGAATGAGGAAATGCACCATATGGTGAACTGTGCAAGAGAGTGAGAGATCCTTTAATGAGGTCTATGGACTCACTATGGGGAGGCCATGTACTAGACTGTGAAGGACGATTCAGAACAATAGTAAAACAAAAATCCAAAATTTGAGTAAATTTTTTTTTATCAATTTGTATAATTCACTAAAATATGGTCTATTGGAATCTCATAATACTTATTATCATCTGTGATCTTCTTTGAAGTGATGATAATGCTCTTAATTATGTGTATTGCCATCAAATTAAAAAAGGTAAATTAAAGATAGAATAAATTTTCTATTTGATGAATTGTCCAACTTTGACATCAACAAATTGAGTTACCTTAGATTCCTCAATCCCCACCAAAGACAGTAATAGTATTTGTTGAAGAATTTTGAGCCCGTGATTTCCAAAGTCAGAGCATCAGCAAAAATGCCAAACTGAAAGAAATCACTGTTCTGATCACATAGACCTGAAAGATTGCTTGATCTGAACCAAGCAGCCCTATTTGGGTCACCTATGCTTTGACAATCAAGATAATGATACTGGCAGTGTGGGTACTCAAGAGTACAAGCTTTCTTCCAACATTCATCCTGCCTTTCAACTGATAACAGGTACCAAGAGGATCCTAAAACCTTTTTGAAATAAAGGGACAGTTAAGGATTGAATCAGAAGCAATATATAAAATAAAATAAAAAATAAAAAACTGAATGAAAAGCATAACAAAAAAAAATAAAAATAAAAAAGAGATCTTGATATAGTACATGTTAGAAAGCTACTAATATGAAGTATTTGGAACATTGACTTACATGACTCGCCAGCAAATAGAGCATCAGATTATATGCTGCCCCAGCCCAAGCTTTTTCCATCATTACCCCATTTACCTTGACAATATCAGATGATAAAGGGTAAATAAGATACAACCTCAAGAGGTACTGGAAAATGGAAACAAGGCGCAAAACATGCCGTGAAGCAATCATTTCTGACCCCTTTAGATTTGGAATTACAGCCCAAATTAACACCTAACATGAATATTAATTATGAAATTGTTAGCTTGCAACAGAAACAGTTAAACATGATGTATACTACACATAAAATCATTTTGAACTGCAACATCAGTTTAGTTCAGCAAATGATAACAAGAGACATATATTATATTAGTATATTATCATTTTATCATATCACAAAAGAGATACTCTTACCCTCACTCTATCTGCTTTGTTTCTTCACCAACAAATTCTCAAGAGAACATTGAACATACCTGTGGAAGTGGTTGGGCAGCCACTAGATCAAGCCAGAAGTCTCTATGCAGGTACTTAGCTGCAACCTTTGAAGAGTCTATAATAAGCTCTCCTCTACCAGAAACACGAGAGGAAGGAGCAATATAAGCAGTTTGAAACCGAACATAAATCTGAATAATGTAAAATGCATCAGCCATGGACCGAATTATGGTAAGGGACACTTCAAGACCAGAAGACATATCAATGCATTTGTCTTTCTTAGCAACTGGTAAATAAAAGAATAGGGGATCCACAAACAATGAAATCAAACAAGCTACTAAGAAAATTTTGTTCCATTTGTTTACTCTAGGTCCCCTAGGATCCAATATTAATATCTCAGCTGCATCATAATCCTCAGAAAAGACCCTAGAAAGTTCTCTTCCTTCCAGTGACTTGTTTATTGCATCCTTCCCAATATTCTGTTTGCCTCTCATCTTATAGTCCTGCATTGACAAGTGACTTTCTTTGCTTTCTGTTAACATCTCAGTTTCAAGATCATCATGAAATCTGGATACACATATAACACAAAATTTTAGCAACAACATAAAATCAAAAGGTAGTGAGAATAGCCAAATCCCACAAAAATGTAACTACATAAATTGATATATGTTCTATAACATTAATTAGTTAATAGAGGCACTGGCATAAGTAACACTAAATTCTAAGTAGGTGCAAGTTTGCAAAGGGAAGAATAGGCAAACCTTACAGATCTTGAATATCTATCACAAGCCATAGTTCTCTAGTTCAACTTGTTAGTTTCACCCTGCAAGGAGAATTAGAGAGTATATATAGGGGTTTATTAACTATCAGAAAAAGATTTCATTGAAGAGCTCAACCACAAAAAACAAAAGAAAAAGAAAAAGAAGAAGCTTATTTACCGTACCATCTTTCCCAGAAATCATGTGACAGAAAAGTGAGACAACTGACTAGGTTCATAAGCAATAACTGCAGTAATCTTTTGGTGTTTATTCAATGAAAGTGCAGGTAAAACCTGTGAATTTGATACTGCTGAAAGATTGTGGAGAATTCAAAGTCTTCGCTCCTTGGACTTCATGGTCATATATGGACGTTATTTTTCTAAGATAAAAAGATGAAAATAGTGAAGGAAGAATATGAAATGAAAAATACATGAGGTTGATGCAGAGCCACCAAAACTGCCTTTTATCCTCTTCTTCCCTTTTAATATCCATGCAAAATTTTAAGATACACTGTGGGGAAACGTATCAATGAAAAACAGCATATTCAAGTTCGATTATGTGGAGAAACAATAGAAGAGAAGTAGAAAGAGGAAGACAGAGAAGAAAAGAAATTTAACCAGATAAAACTTGCAGTCAATTTTTCTTCATTACTACCTTGAATTCAGTATTTGACTTGTACCATGAATTTTGATTTGAACTTCTTTTTGAGTCTTGAGTCTCATATCTATGAACTTTGCTTATTCTTCCTCACTGACTTAATATGACTTGGACTGTAACTGTGAGAACTTAGAAGGTACCAGAAAAAAATAATTTGAAGATTGCTTACTAACCAAAATTCAGAACATGTCTTATTCATTAATAGACCATTTGAAGCTTTCTAAATGACATGGGTTTGTTTAATGTTTATTCATCATGTGTGGAATGGGCATCAAAGTTTACAGTTGCATTGCATTGTAAGCTTTTTTTTTGTCTCAAATTTTGAAGAGATTTTGATGACGTTGAGAACCTTAACCAACAGCATCGCAGAGAATGATGTCAAGCTCAAAACCAAGTCATAAACACTACTATCAACAGCACCTACTGTCTGGGGACAGCTCTGATTAATTTTAGCAAAGAAATATGAGTATAAAACCTACTAAGCACACATAAAATTGCGTGCCACCCAAATAGGGCCATGTGAATATATATATATATATATCAATTCCACATATTTTAATGTACGTAAGGCCATGTAAATATATATATATATATATGGGTTTTCGTTTTATCCTTTAACATAACACAACAAACTTTTCTACACTCACAACATTTTGTGGGGCCCACACTTTTTAAAACAAAAAAATAAATAAAAAATTAAGGCACGCAAAACGAATCTCTATAACATTACACAATCACTTTTCCTACAACATAACTCTTATAAAACCCTATATATATATATATATGAACTCCACGTATTTTTATGTACGTAGAAGATAATTTTATATCCTATAATATAAAATCCTTATAAAATCGGAGGTAATAAACTAGAGATAGATCATAAGCCTAAAAAACATAGTCCAGTAAGACCTGTTATCAAACTACCTATTACTACCACGAATCAAATTTAAATAATTTCTCGTTCACCTCCTCTATAAATTTAAGGGTAATAGAGATGGTAATAAAAGATTTAATATAAGTTGATAATAAATATAACCAATCTCTTATAAATTTTGAAAGTGTTTTTTTTTTTTTTTTTTTTTTGTCATTGTGAACGATGCTGATCATGGAGGCAAAATTCTTATAGAAATTAAGTTAAATCAAGATGTTGAACTTAAAAAAGAATGATAACTGATTATTGAGTTTCTATATGATATAATTTTATCAAAAGTCAGGGTTTAAATACGTCATGCAGCACCCGGATAAAGTATTAAAATAGAGCATGTGTAGTTAAAAAAAAAAATTACTTAATAATTAATCTGATTTTACGAAGTCTAGCTTCAAAGTCTATTGGCCGAACTATGACGTTTTAGAATGAAATTTTAATAGATTGTATTTTTGTTTTATATTTAAAGTGATCTATAATATTTTAGGAGAATACTGAAATTTAAATAGATTTATCTTTCCCTAAATTTTCACGAATAAATATTGTGAAGGTATTAATTGATAGTTATAAAAGTTAATCATATTTATTTTGTAAACCAATTTCTTAAGAATTATATGTTAATTTATCATAATTGAGATTATAATATGTTTATTTTTAAAAAATATATCAAGCCAGACTTACAATTTAACTTTCATCAAACTAACGAGACAGTGTCAGACTAACCTCCAATTATAATGTATAAATCACGTTCATTTAGGCAAAAGCCAACTTATTATATAGCCCTAATCACAAGTTATCTGAAATAAAACATAATATTGGCTTGACTTTCAGCTCAATCAATTTCTGTCCCAAATGTTATTAACTCCCTGTGCAGCTCGGCAAGAAGAATGAGTTATAGGGCCAGACGTAATAACCGTGACTGGGGCTAAAAGTGAGACGAATTTAAGGCCTCAGTGACATACTTCAATGATGATAGCATTAAAGGCAATGCTAGACTTGCATCATTCAGCTCAACCACCCAAACCAAACGTGCAAATGATGAACAGCAGTGGCAGCTATCCATATTCAATGCCGAGGACACCAGCCATTCACAAACATTATGTTAATTGCACTCTTTAAATAATAAATAAAGATTTTTATAAGTGTTATGTTGTAAGAAAAATATTTGAGTAATATTATAAAGATTCGTTTTACGTACCGTAATTGTTTTTTTTGCTTCAGAAAATGTGAGCCCCACAAAATGGAGTAAATCTTCTCATGTAAAAAAGTGATCATGTTATTTGATCACGACCACTTATTTAAAAATTATATACTTTTCTCTTGTCTCATCATCAATAAGTGGTTATGATCAAATAACATGACCACATTATCATTTTTTCACATGAGAAAATCCACTCTCTCCACAAAATATTGTGTATAGAAAACTTTCTTGTGTCATGTTAAATGATAAATGCAAACCCCATAAATAAAAGATACAACTTTTAACATATACTCTCTGTCTCTATTATTTGAAATAAATTATTCTACCTACTTTTTTTTATACCTACCTTGCTTACCGCTCTCAAACACCGTGCCAAAAAATAACCTATCCCTTTTTCACTTAACAAAAAAGTATAGTTCAAGAATTTGTATTACTGTAGGCGTACAAATAATAAAGTCCTTACTCAAAAAAGAGTTTTAACATCACAAATAACCTTCCAAAACACAATATTGTTTTAAGGGTAAGTCTAAATCACAATGGCATTTTTTTTAGTACGTAATCACAGCGGTGTTTTAAGTTGTGTATAAACTACCAACACATTATATAAAAGGGATTTATTAATCTTATATTCATGCAACAAAAACAACATAATAGGGTCCACCATTTATAAAAACAAAAACAAAAACAAAAAAATAATGTGGATCCCACTACTTTGTCTCTGTTACATAAAATAATTTTCTCATACAACAAGAAATAATTATTTCCCTATATAAAAACGGTGTAAAAGGGTTTTAACGTGGAGAATGATTCTAGAATACTCTTTAAGGGGTATTTAAACCCCAGGTGATATAGTACAATTAAATGCATAGAATTAAGCAAATATAACCATGAAGGAGGAATTCTAGGCCATTTACCTCAAGTCATCAACATGAAACCAAATATATAATAGATTTCACAAGGACAACAAATCACATTACTCCTTCCCACCAAACAAGTAAACTATAAAATAAATTTGTGGTGATAATTTTCCGGCACATTTTAGGAAGTTGAATATGGCAACTAACAAATATTGAGTCATCTACTTCTATAACAAAGTTGTGAAATAACGACTACAAATCAGTTTCAAATGACAACCTTGGAATTTGGAGCATACGTTTAAACTTCAAAAGAAACTTAACATATCTTCTTACAGGTACTGTACTGTAGGTAAATACAGTCTCAATGATGCATTTTTTCACAAACTGTTGCTAAACATCAATGACTTGCAGCCGCTTAACTCCCAACTACCTGTTAAGGTCAAACAATACCAAAAGCTTGGAACATTCAGCCAAATGCATAGAGCCTCATGAGGAATTATGGTAAGAAATGCCATAATTGTAAGATGTTTTAGAATTAGAACACACAACATATATTAAATAGGTACAGAATAGTACCGAAGTTCTCAGGTATAGATGAAAGGATAAATCCTCAAAATTGACGCTTGGGCTTAGCATCTGCTGCAGAGACTCGTATAGCTCTGCCATTCAAGTCCTGCAACCAATATCAAATAATCAGATTCTGGTGGTTAAATATATAATTGAAGATGGCCAGTGAGGATAAGGCCTATACAATTATACACAAGTACCCAACTTAAACAACTTAGAACATAGCTTTTAACAAGGCTTGAACTCTTACAAGGGATTTAACTCTTTATAATTAAGATGGAACTTCTTAAGATGTAACCATACAAAATCCAACTCATCAGATTGCAGTTCATGTTTAGCACACAGATATTCTAATTGCTTGAATTCAGAAATGCAGAAACAGTAATGAATTTATGCAGCAAAATAAGCTTTTATCAAACAGAATTTTGACGAAATGCTTCTTATCTAAAATTATTTTCATAACCATATGAATTTGACATGTGAAATCTGAAAAGAAAAAGGCCTTATCTCATTTATATATGTCTTCCGGAATATACTGAAATAATACATCCACTTCGCAAAGGAGAAGGATTAGCATGCTTACCGCACCATCTAAGGACTGAATAGCACTGTTGACCTCTTCAGAGCTACCGTAAGTCACAAACCCAAAGCCTCTTGATCTTCCACTTTCCCTGTCATAGATTACCTTTGCCTCCAAAACCTTTCCTTGTTCGGCAAACAATGACTCAAGTGCAAAGTGGTCAACACCCCAAGCAAGATTACCAACATGTACACGGTGTTCACTATCTGAAGAAGGACCACCACCTCTGGAAGGAGGGCCACCTCTAGAACGGAAATTGTCATTTCTGAAATTATCATTCCTGAAATTCTCATTTCTGAAATTATCATTCCTGAAATTATCATTCCGGAAATTATCATTCCTGAAATTCTCATTCCGAGCAGGAGGTGGTCCAGAATTCACTCTCAATTGCCTTCCATCTAGCTCCTATGAATTTCCAAAGACTCTTTCTTAAATGTGATAAACAGAATGGTCTAAGCCATACATAATAAAACAGACAACAACAAATACATTCACATTTCACATCATATAAACTCAATCTCAGACAGCTAACACAGTTAAATACCGAAGTAGCCAACTTCACTAAATGAGTCATAATCTGAAACAACACAAAAGTCCAAAAAAAAAAAAAAAAAAAAAAAAAAGAGAAAAGAAACTTTGAACATAAATTAACTTTATAATTGAACAAATTATGACATGATGACTCACATAACCATTGAACTGTTGAGCAGCTGCTTCAACTTCATCAGCGGAAGACATGGTAACAAAACCAAATCCCCTACTTCTCCCAGTCGTTTTATCATAAATCACCTGCCAAAACCCAACAATTTCAGAACTTAAAAACAAAAATCGCAACCCATTTCTTTTCTTCCAAAAGGGTTCTTTATTAAAGCATCAAAAAGCAAACTTTGAGAAGAAACAAGCATAATACCTCAACCATCTCTACATTCCCAGCACTTTCGAAGAGCTCAGCGAGTTGGGCACTGTCACAACTGAAAGGAAGATTACCCACGAAGAGTTTGAGGTCTGGGGAGTAGTTGGGACGTTCATCTCCGCTGAAGGTGTCTTCTTCCTGGTCGAACTCTGAGGAGAGAGCAACATGGGAAACGAAACGAGACGACAACGACAACGTTGGACGAAGAAACGCCGCGGAAATGGAGAAGCGCTTTGAGTTAGGGTTGAGGGATAGGGAAGAAGAGAAACACTGAGGAGAACACAGAGGTTGTCGTGTTCGGAGAGTGAGAGTGGGAAGTGCTAGAGAAGCCGCAGAGGTAGACATGGTTAACGTTAACGGATAAGGCTAAGAACCAAAAAATAAGGGTTTCTTGAGTTATGAAATGGGAAGCGAGGGTTTATATTGCGAGTGAATAAGGCATTGTGATATTTATGCAACTGAAAGGTTTCCGATAAGGTAAGGTGGGGTGTTATTACATTTACTTTTTTGTCCCTCGTTTGTATCAGATATTTTCTTTTGTTTCTTTTTGTGTGTGCAGAGATATTTTTGCAAAATAAAAATAAAAATTGTATACGTGGTAAAGTGTTATCAGTGTAATCTGCAAGATATCTGTATTACCTAATGGATAATGCATGTCTTTATGGCCCAAAGGCCCAAGTGTGTGTTCTTTTTTTGTTTTGTTCGTTTCTTCCATGGAGGACCAAACCAAAGCTGGATTTCCTCCTTCTTAATTTGCAAGTGGGCCTAGTGAAACAAAGAACTAGTAAGAAAGTGTCATGTAATTGTCATGAATTTTTTTGTTTAGCGTACCTTTTCCTATACCTTTTAACTAAGATATCATATCACAATAAGTCCCTAATAAACTTGAGACAAGAAGGAATTGGAAGTAAGTAATATACGAACATTGCATTGGAGCCTCAATCATACAAGGCTTCATGTCATAATATCTCCTTCCACCATATTCAACATGAATGGTACCTTCTCTTAGGAAATTTTTTGATATATTATTATACCTAGTACTCGGCACGACGATAGTACCAAAGATGTTCTTTAATTCTTGGCTTGATTAGATCATACTTTTCGTTAATGTGATTACATCTATCCACATAACCCAGTGATTCTTACAAAATATTGAGTGTGCTTTAACAAGAAGCCAAGCAAGAAGGATTATGAAGATTAAGCATTTATTTTATGAGTACACTAAAGTCATATGTAACACCGATTTATAACAAGAAAGAGATTTTTTCTATATCCAAAAAAGAAGAAGAGATTTTTCAGATTTCGTATATAGATGGTGAAGAATGATCAAGTGCTTAACCACACTAAAATGCATATATATTAATTTATGGAATGGTGACAATGATTTGTGAAAAAAATATTAATCTAATAACAACCCTAGAATGCAAATTAAATATTAAATATGAAGGTCAATTATTGTACCTTCAACTTCTTAAAGTTATTGTTATATCAATGAAGGAAGATTCCGACCAATATTAATTTAAGTTCTATGATAAGATGGAGCATGTGATGCCACAACAAGAATTGCATATAGTAATTCTTAACAATCTTTATTTTTATCATAATATTGCAACAGCAATTGTGCTTCAATTATTAAGTTGACTTTCACTGAACTCTTCATCTCGGGTTTCAGGCTCTTCATCTTTATGGAAGTCTTCTTTGATGATGGGAAATCGTCCCCAGAATAGGCTTTATTGTAGCCCCTCTGTAGGTATATGAATAAAATCAGAAGATTAAGCACTTTAATTTTTGGTCTTGAGATAAATAACTGCAAGAAAGTCAAAATGTGAAAGAGAAAGAGTAAAAATCCAGCGGAGAAACCTAATTACCACACCATCTGCATGTTATGCTTACTAATTTGGAGACATTATGTGACGTAAAATTTTTGCCAAGATTTCACCAAAAAAAAAAAATTTTTGCCAAGATGTCATGGTGACAAACTCGTCATTATATTAGTCAAAAAGTCAACTCATTTTTAGAAAGTTATAACTTCTTACTTAAGTGATCAAATTGGTTGATTTTTTTTATTCCACATAATATTTTAAGATCTACATGCTGAAAAATTTACGAAGGATTAATTTTTAGTGTTGGAGCGTGAAAATAAGAATAAAATTAAATAATATTATTTACAGAGATAAAATGTGCCAAAAGGGGCACAAGGAAGAATAAAATTAAATAATATCATCTACAAAGATAAAATGTGCCAAAAGGGACACAAGAAAGAAAATAATATCATTTACAGAGATAAAATGTGCCAAAAGAAGTATAAGAAAGCATTTTTTGGGAAAAAATTTTGACCAAGGCATTTGTTAGGGCATAGATCTTGAAAAGTTATATGGAATGAAAATAAATACCTGATTCGGACACTCGAGTCAAAAATTATAACCTTCTAAAATTTTACGATAAAATTTTCAAAATTTTGTGCCACATGTCACGAAACGATAGACTACAGAGACAACAAGTTTGATGGTCTATCATTTCCTTGATAACGAATTTGGTGATCTATCATTTCGTGACATTTGGCATTTGAAACTCACTATCACTAACAATATATTTGTCACCACGACATTTTGACAAATTTTTGCAGTAACATAACATTCTGGTAAAAAAATTTGGGAAAACGTGACAAAAACATGGTCAAATTCCTTATTAATTTGTATTATTTTGGGACTTGCACTGAATCGTAAAGCACTGATACATCAAAAGTTTGGGGTCACAAATACAAGCTTGCTACTTGTTTTTCTATGGTTTCATGCACTAACAGGAAGACTCTTATTAAGTACTACCTACAAGTTTCATCTCCAGACCCATATGCATGCCCATCATATAAATTATGCTAAAAATATTAATTGCCAAAAAATAATCTTCTTCCTGTCATTCATTGCCTATGTAAAACTTACTAATCTGAAGCATAATGAAAGTGCTATGTCATACAAATTTAAGATAGGTGTGAAAGAGAGAGAGAGAGAGAGAGAGAGTGTGTGTGAAAGGCAAGAGCCTAAGTTTCCATATCATTGTTGTAATACCTTCAAATGTCTTTTTCAGCCTACATCACTAGAAACTCTGCATTGACAAATGAGTAGTAAAAATCACTTATAGGATATCATAAAGTATACAACATGTATGACATTATTTTATAATCTAGCTACTATGATGACAAAAAAATAAAATTATAAAACTTGTTCGAGGATTTTATGGTTAGATATTAGTTGATTTTTTCACAAACCTTGCTCTATTCTACATGGAAACCTACATAGCCTATAATGCACCCGTGAACGGAGACAGGGAAGGCAGCTGAATACATTGATATAAACCAGATATTGCCATTATATCCAATCCCATGAACTATAGCACAAAGTCAACATGCGCCTGCATTAAAATACGTTGGAGTCATGGCCCAGCTAACTCGAATTCATAAAACCAAAGCCACAAGCTATATTAGCCCCGTAAAATAGGGAAATTAATTTCCTGGACCCTCTCTCCGGGTGTATTGATTCTGGAGCACTACATATTTGCTCGTAAAATAGGGATGTGTGAAAAATTAAATCAACCGATTTGATTTGTGTATTGACTTGAATCATATTATTTTACGTCCGGTTTAGTTTGTTCGGGTTGAAAACCGAATCATATGCATTGTTAGAAATGCGACAAATACAAATGAATTGAATTGAAGTTGAAATCAAATCGAATTACACCATAATTTTTTAATCAATTTAAGAATTACATTATTTTTTTCAAATCAATTCACGAATCAAATCACTCTTCCGGTTCAATATGACTCGTGTGCACATCCTATTATTAAGTTTCCATTATTTACCTTTGCCCCGGGACAAAAACTATGATTCCAAAGGGAGCATCTAATTTTATGCTATAAAAGACACCCCCTCTTATGTCATAGACTCAACATATGGTGAGTCTCATCATGTGTTAAAAATAAAAAATAACAAGACATATTTATCAATATATTTATAAAATAAAATAATTTGTTCCTATTACATGAGAGAATAATTTCTCAATTCCAAAACATGAGAATGTTGGCAAAAGCAGCCTTAAAATTATTTGAGGTGCAGCAAAAGTTTGTACTTCTACCAGCTGCGTACATGCATATGTAGATTATATTAAAATATGTTGGAAGCAACTCTAAACTAACGGGTATTTGTAACCAATAATGTGGTCTGATTATAATAATGATTCAAATTTTAAAAACATATGAGCAAACTTCACATGACAATATACCAAAGTTATATATATAACAATATACCAAAGTTATATATATATATATAGGGTTAGGATCATTTTACACCAGTGTAAGTTACACTCTCAATCTTGATCGTTGATCCCACTTATATCTAAGGATTCTAAATTTTTAGTAATGTGAGCCATTGGATACAAGTGGATCAATGCTCAAGATTGAGTGTAAGACTTCTAACTCTTACACCGGTGTAAGAATATCTTGCCCCATATATATATACATATATATATATATATATATATATATGAATATAGATTAAAATAAAGAACGTGATTGATGCCCTCAAGATTTAGTTTAAATAATTAGACTAATCAACGCCTCAAATATTGTTTTTCAATTGATTAACTTCCATTACTACCCTCTCAAACATATCTATCGCCTGAAAATTCTATCTGACTTGTAAATGGAGGCCAGACCAGTGTCAACACCAGAGCAATGTCAGTATTTCCAACCCAAATACTAGTCCATTTTCATTATAATCATGCACTTTTATACATGTTATATTGATAAACAAGATCACAAAAATGTCTGAGAAAAATGAAGAGGCTCCTTTTGTTCCAAATTTCATCCAATTCTGGCTCCTTTTGTTTGATTATTACCCTATAATAGTTGTGCTCGTAAGAATCTATTAGATCTATGATCCATGATGAATCAGGCTCAAACTAATAGGTGCCTTAATCTCTAGTTTAAAAGGGATGTTTAGTCGCTGCCATTGTAAAGTGCGAAGAGAGAGAGAAAAAAAAAGAAATGCGAAGAAAAAAGCCAAAGCTAAAGGTAAAGATCCTGAGGAAGAAACCCAGCAACACCGCTAAAGAAGGAAGTAGGATTCTTATCCCTTTATAAAGAGAAACACTTGTGTGAGAAACTTAGTGAGTAACTCATCCTTTAAAAGGGTAAAGTCTGTTGGTCTTCTCTTTCAAGCCTTGGCCTCCTTTGATTCCTCCTCCACCCTCTAATAAGCCTTGATCCAGGCCTTCCTCTCTTCTACCCGCGTATCTTTTTCAATTTGAAGAGAAGCAGCTTCAAAATGCGCCTTAGCAAAGTTATCATGCATTAAAAAATGTTTTGATCAAGGAAGACGCCTTCAATGCGCCGGCCTCTATCTTATGAAGTTCCTTGAGTGCA